TTAATATGAACAAAGGAATTACAACCCCAAGCGCTTACACTTGCAGAGCTAATCTTGAACTCAGAATAGATCTCTGAGAACAAGTTAATTCACTCACGACTCTTTCTGAATGATTCTGTAAATGTAAAGAGACTCTTTATATACCGAAGTCAATTACAAAACCAAATCAATTCTAAACCAATAAACGAATTGAAGCCGGTTAAGTGCTTGTAGACGCCACGTCCTCTGTTCTTGTTCTCTTCTTCCTTGCAACGTAAACTCTCTTCGGCATATCAATACCTTCGTATGCAGACTGAGCTTGTCCTCAAGCGAAAATGCCGGAAATTGTTGCTTCAGCTCTCCCACACGCAACCATGAAGTTTCATGATCCGGAAGACCTTTCCACTTAATCAGCAATTCCATATACCCATGTTCATCGTAACGAGTATCCACAATCGCCTTCGGTTCAATAATCACTTCATCATCAACTGAAACTGACACCGGAAGGGGCATGACAATCTGATTCTCACCAATCACCGGTTTCAACTGCGACACATGAAACACAAGATGTATTTTGGATGAATCTGGCAATCTCAACATGTAAGCAACGTTGCCTATACGTTCTAAAACCTCATATGGACTACAGTATCGAGCTGCTAGCTTTTGACACAAATGTCTGCTCACTGATTGTTGGCGATAAGGTCGCAGCTTCAAATACATTTTCTGTCCCACACAAAACTCCAAGTCACGACGATGTTTGTCTGCATTGTTTTTCATCATATCTTGTGCTTGCGTTAAGTGCTCTTTCACATCAGAGAGGATCTTATCACGTTCCTGCAACAATGTCTCTAACTCAAAGTTTTGAGTACAACCCTTCTCAAAACGCAACAACGTGGGAGGCTCCCTGCCATACACAACCTTGAAGGGAGTGGTGTGTGTCGATGTATGATATGACGTATTATACCATAATTCAGCCCAGGGAAGAAATTTTGACCAAGTTTTCGGATGTGTAGAGGCAAAGCATCGTAGATATGTTTCTAAACATCTGTTGAGCACTTCTGTTTGTCCATCAGGCTGAGGATGAAAATCAGTACTGAAACGGAGCTTCGTACCAGATAAACGGAAGCATTCACGCCAAAAGTTACTTAAGAAAATCTTGTCACGATCCGAGATGATTGACTTGGGATACCCATGTAAGCGGATAATCTCTTTCACAAACTTCTGCGATACATCAATGGCAGTGAAAGGGTGTTTCAGTGGTATGAAGTGTCCATATTTACTGAGAGGATCAACTACCACTAAAATCACATTAACTCCTTGAGAAAGTGGTAATCCTTCAATGAAATCCATTGAAAGGTCCTCCCAAATCTGCACTGGTAAAGGGATCGGTTGCAACAAACCGGCAGGAGATAGTGTCGAGTACTTATGAGTTTGGCAAATAGTGCACTCCGACACATACTGCTGAACCCGTTTCCTCATCTGATTCCAGTGAAAAATTGACTGAATCCGTTGCAATGTTTTGAGAATGCCAGAATGACCACCCAACAGACTGTCGTGGTTCTCTTGTAAGATCAGTGGAATGTGTTTTGAATTTTGCGGAATCACCAATCTCCGTTTGTAAAACAGTTTTCCATTAACTACAGAGTAACCCGACTTGACCTCTTCCCCTATCTCTATCTTCTGCTGAACCTCTTGTATCTCTGCGTCCTCATCTATCTCTTTAAACAGATCTTGGAGCTGTAACGTTGTTGGCTTCGTCATAGACAACAGCCCCGCTGACATTGATGGTTGAGGATCGATTATTCTTGATAACCCATCAGCCACTTTATTCTCACTTCCCACTTTATACTCAATATCAAACTCATACCCCAGAATGCGTGTCAACCATCGTTGATAATCCAACGTTACCTCTCTTTGTTCTAACAAGTATTAGAGGCTCTGTTGATCTGTTCTCATAACAAATCTTCGTCCAAGTAAGTAATGTCGCCACTTTTGAATTGACATTACTATCGCCATCAACTCACGTTCATATATAGGTTTTTGTTGCTCTCTTTCGGATAACCCATAGCTGAAGTAGGCGATTGGGTGTCGGTCTTGCATTAACACTGCCCCGAGGCCATACCCTGAAGCATCTGACTCGACAACAAACAGCTTTGAGAAGTCTGGCAATGCTAACACAGGAGCTGAGATCATTGCCTCTTTTAGCTGATCGAAGGCTGTATGTGTTTCTTGTGTCCAAATGAACTGATCTTTCTTAAGCAACTCAGTTAATGGCTTAGCTAATAGTCCATAGTGATGCACAAATCTCCTATAGTAGCCCGTGAGACCCAAAAACCCTCTTAACTCTTTAACTGTCTTTGGCGTGGGCCACTGTTTTACGGCAGCAATCTTTTGAGAATCAGTAGAAACGCCTCTCTCAGATATCACATGTCCCAAGTACTCAAATTGGTTTTGATCAAAGGAGCACTTCTTCTTATTAGCAAACAACTTTTGCTCAACAAACACGGATAGCACCAGGTTCAAATGCTTGATATGGTCCTGAAGACACTTACTGTAGATAAGTATGTCATCAAAGAATACTAACACAAATTTTCTGAGAAATGGCTGAAACACTCTATTCATCAAAGCCTGAAAGGTAGCCGGGGCATTTGCTAACCCAAACGTCATAACAAGAAACTCATAGTGGCTCTCATGAGTTCTAAAAGCTGTTTTCTCGATGTCGTGTTCCTTCATTCTGATTTGGTGATAGCCGGAGCGCAGATCCAACTTTGAAAATAGTTTAGCCCCAAACAGCTCATCAAGTAGTTGATCGATCATCGGGATTGGATATTTGTCTGGCACTGTAGCCCTATTCAAAGTTCTGTAGTCAATGCAAAACCTCCATGACTTATCCTTCTTCTTAACCAACAATACAGGGCTTGAATAAGGGATGTGGCTTGGGCGAATTAATCCTTCTGTCAGCATCTCTTGGACCAATTTGTCAATAGTTTATTTGTGAGCGTGAGGGTATCTATACAGTCTCACACTAATTGGTCCCATACCCGGTTGAAGATTGATACCATGCTCGCTGCCACGTATTGGTGGTAAACCCACAGGTTTCTGAAAGACTTTTTCAAAAGCAACTAAAGTCTGTTCAATCAGAGGTTCAATGCTTTTATTCTCCTCACTACAAACTTCCATGTTACTGAGTACAATCCATTGTTTCTTCTCCTCTAGACTATACTTTAATGTTTTTAGTGACATCGTTGTCTCATGTAGCGAAGGATCACCTCTTAATGTCACATATTTCCCTTGATGCATGAAGGACAATTCGTGATTTTTCCAGTCAACTAAACACTTCCCAAGCGTTCTCAACCACTGGACCCCTAAGATGACATCGACATTTCCCAACTCAAGCACGATGAAATCAGTGGTGATTTGAATATCTTGTAGTGTTAGCTGAACGTTTCTACACACTCCTGATCCATGAACTGATACACCCGTGCCAAGCAACACTTGTGATTGATAAGATTTGTCAGGTTTAAGGCGCACACGCTTTGCCATGTCAGGAGTAATAAAGTTGTGTGTAGCTCCACTATCCAACATTATCACAATTGGTTGCTTCTTTAAACAGCCCTTCACTTTTGTTGTTGTCGGAGAAGGTAATCCCAAGAAGGAGTTTAATGACAGAGCTGTTAACTCCGGAGTCCAAACGATCTCTTCTTCTTCATCTGTTATAACCTCCTGATTGACAATCTCCACTTCGATACCATTCAGCATTGTTAAAACCTGACACGCTGCATTTGGGCAAATGTGTTGTCTTGTAAACTTCTCAGGGCAGTAAAAACATAATCTCAAACATTTTTTTCAGCGACTTGCTCCGGCGTTAAACGAATTTGAGGTCGAGGGAACCCCAAACGTGGATGTGGTGTTGTATTATGTTGGCTCGCTTGATTCGTTCTCATCTTCCAAGCATTATTAGTCGGGTGACTTGAATAAGATTTATTGGCTGGAATCCCACTTCCTTGAATAGACTTAGGATTCTGTTGTCTTTCTTTGCAAACAACATGATATAAAGTGCTTGATTCCATCTGGTATGCCAACGATATCATCTCCTCGAGATTAACAGGCTTGCACATATTCATCACTTCATGCATTTCTGGTTTCAGACCATTAATGAACACACTTTCTCTCTGAGCATCAGATAAGCCATACGCTTGTGTTGACAAATCTTCAAACAAGTGGATATATTCCGCCACCGAACCAGTCTGAGAGACTCTGAAGAAAGGTTGACTCGGATCACGTAATTTCTCCTTACTGAATCGAGCAATCAATCGATCTCTAAACTCTTTCCAACAAGCAAATGGCCGACGATGAATCTCGCTGTTGAACCAACTCAGCACATCTCCTGCCAGACTCACTGAGACCAGATTGAGTTTTCCTATATCATCATATCCTCCGATCTGAAAGAATCGCTCAGCAAGCGCAATCCAACCGTATGTATCCTCACCGGAAAACGTTGGTAACTCAACTTTTCTCAGCAGTCATTCTCTGCTGTTTTCCAGCTACTATGAACCCTAATTTCCTCCGGCCAAAGACTACGGCAAGGTTCCCGGTCAAGAGGGCGTACCTGTTCCATTTGCGATATCGGAATAGATTTGCCGTTGCCAGTTGACGTTTCCTGACGCGTCGTCGACTCACGTTGCAATGCCAACATGATAGCTTTGAACTTGTTCTCCAAATCGCCGAATCTCCGTCGAGACTCCTTCTCCATCTCGATTTGAGAAGAAATCGCCGATTGCAATGACTTCGCCAACGATTCCAGCGAAACTTGTGGAATCGCTTCTTCGCTCTGATTTTTCCTCGTCATTTCGCGATTGTTTGCTCCAGATCGCTCACTACGCAATAATTTGTTATGAACAAAGCCGATTTATTAATATGAACAAAAGAATTACAACCCCAAGCGCTTACACTTGCAGAGCTAATCTTGAACTCAGAACAGATCTCTGAAAACAAGCTAATTCACTCACGACTCTTTCTGAATGATTCTGTAAAAATGTAAAGAGACTCCTTATATACCGAAGTCAATTACAAAACCAAATCAATTCTAAACCAATAAACGAATTGAAGCCGGTTAAGCGCTTGTAGACGCCACGTCCTCTGTTCTTGTCCTCTTCTTTCTTGCAACGCAAACTCTCTTCGGCATATCAGGATCTTCACACTGAAAATTTCCATACTGTGTCCCTACCTGAAGACATTGATGTGTCTTCCGACCGCGTTTACAATTGGAGTTTCAAGGACCGTCTCTGTGTCTCTGATTTAAGACAAGGTGTGGATTCCGACGTGTGGGTTCTTGTGCAGTACGAGGCTAGTGAGACGTGGGAGAGAACTAGGTTTTTAACCATCGATGTTGTCATTCCTCCATTGAAGTTGAATTCGGCTTGGTTTTCGCCGTCCTTAGTTTCTCCTTATCAGTCGTCTTCTCGTCCTACAAAGAGACAGAGTACCTCAGCACAATGTCAGTCACTTCGCTAAGTTCTCTTTCTCGTTTAGATTGCTTGTCAGTGAAGTAATGTGTTTCAAGATTTGTATTCAACCAAGTATTTGTCTTCTTCACATTTTTTTCAGGATATGGAGACACGAGAGTCATGATAATATGGGATTCTTTGCTATATTTATTTGGCTTTGGCTTTTTTCTTTAAGTTGACTGTTTTCTTTCCAATTTCAGGGTTATACAGTTAAGTTTTAAGGGTTGTAGTTTGAGATTAATGGTTTATTCATCTAACAAGGTCATAAACATTCAATTTTTATCTATTAATCGAACATTTAAGACGTTCCATCCAAGTAAACTTCGGCATCCACTAGAGTCAGTGACTGAGCATCACGAAAATTTTGGGTTGACTTCGTTTCTGAACCATTTTTGAGTTTGAAAAGGTTCTCAAAGCCTACCTATTGCGCCAAGATCCAACTCCGATTTGGTAAACCCTCGCACTCTCAGCTCACACACTCGAAACAAGAACAATATCGAACACAAGAATGAAACAACACACAGAGATTGTTTACCTAGAGTTCGTGATCGAGATGATACACTACTCTATGGGGTCAGACTCAGCCAGCAATCCACTATCAAGATGACCGAGCTCTCAGATCAGAGAAACTCATCGAAGAAGATGATTACAAGAGAAGTGACGAATGAGCTAACCCTAGACCCGAACCTATACCCTTTCATAAACCAAGGATTTACAATAAACCGGGTCTAAGGCAGAGTAACAATTAATCTATCAAACCGAGCTAGAATACGGCACCGGTTTAACATATTAACCCTCTGAATCTAATTCTAACTAAACCTTATACAATGGCTAAGTTTATATCATATCCCAACATACTCCACCTTGAGATAATACTTAGACATAAGACACATACCTCTTCGAGCCTCGAACCTTGATATGACAGTGGAATCACCTTCTGAACATCATCGTTTGGCGTCACTAGCTCTTTCAAACTTGAGTGACTCTGAGCAAGTCCAACGCGGACTTAAACTTGCTCACTGGAACCACCTTCGTCAAAATGTCTGCTGGGTTCCGACTTGTGTGAATCTTCAGCACTTCCACGATACCATCTTCGATGACATCTCGGATAAAATGATACTTTGTCGCAATGTGCTTCGTACGCTCATGAAACACATTGTTCTTCAACAAACAAATCGCACTCTGAGAGTCACACCAAACTTTAACTGCTCCTTGCTTGTACCCGAAGTCCTCGAGTAGACCCTTGAGCCAAATGGCTTCCTTCACAGCTTCGTTCAGTGCAATGTACTCAGCTTCCGAGGTTGACAGTGCCACTACCTTCTGAAGACTCGATTTCCAACTCACTAGATTTCCTCCAACCGTAAAGACATAGCCCGTGGTTGACCTCCTTTTGTCTAAGTCTGCAGCAAAATCAGAATCACAGTAACCTTGCACAGACAAGTCCTTATCCTTTCGATACTCCAACTGCATATCTGATGTACCTTTGATGTACCTCAGAAGCCATTTAACTGCTTCCCAATGTATCTGTCCAGGCTTGCTCATATAGCGACTGACCAAAGCAATAGCATACGCAAGATCTGGTCTTGATCCTACCATCGCATACATGACACTTCCAACAGCTGATGCATACGGGGTCACTTCTGTATCAATGATCTCGTCACGATCCTTCACAGATGATAGCTTGAAATGAGCACCAATGGGAGTTTGAGCACTTTTGGCCTCCACCATTCTAAAATTCTTAATAACCTTCTGCAAGTAAACTGTCTGAGAGAGACTCAAAACTCCCTTTTCCCTGTCTCTGAGAATATCCATTCCAAGAATCCTTCGAGCTGCTCCTAAGTCTTTCAACTAAAAACTCGAACTGAGCTGCTCTTTAAGCTCCTTAATGTCTGACATATTATTTGCTGCCAACAGCATGTCATCCACGTACAGCAGAAGGTAGACGAACTCCAGCTTTGCAACCTCTTTGACATACACGCAGTGATCTTGAGGACTCTGAGTGAACCCCTGAGATACCATAACTTCGTGAAACTTCTTATTCCACTGCCTTGGAGATTGCTTCAATCCGTACAACGATTTCTTGAGGAGACATACATAATCCTTCTTGGTATTATCTTCGTAACCCTCTAGCTGCTGCATGTATAGATCTTCTTCCAAGTCGCCGTGTAAGAAAGCCGTCTTTACATCCATTTGCTTCAGCTCCAAATCTCGGTTGACTACGATTGAGAGCAACATTAGAATGGACACGTGCTTCACAACTGGAGAGAAGACATCCTAATAGTCAATTCCCTCCTTCTGAGAGAATCCTCTTGCTACGAGCCTCACCTTATAACGATCAGATTCAACTCCTTCTATCCCTGGCTTCACTTTGAATAACCGTCTGCAACTAATAATCTTCCTGTCTTTGGGTCGCGGGACTAGGAACCAAGTCTTGTTTTTCCACAGAGAATCCATCTCTTCGTCTGTTGCTGCATTCCACTAATCCCACTCATCACTTGCTTGTGCATCTTTAAAATCCTCTGGCTCATCGACATACATTGTTTCTGACATTATCAGCGCAAAAGCCACTTCATCATCTTCATCGCCTAAGACACAATCTCTTAGTCTAAGCGGAAGAGCATGATTACGCTTGGGGCGCTCCACCACAACAGGTGGTGCTTGAGCTTGCACTCGTGGACTTGGAGTTCTGAAAGTGCTCGTACTTCGCGGTGTACTCTGAGGTGTGCTTTGTGATGTACTAGCAGAGCTCGGCGCTGGGGATGCAAAATATGGCTCATACTCTTCTGTATCACTGTCAGAAGATACTTCCTGATAAGCTCCACCTGAATCTTGTGAGACTATCTCTTTCCCCTTAGCCTTCGCTAAACCTGAGCTCTTGTGACAATCTCCCCTGTTCCAGTTGCCTTGTCAACAGGCACAACAGTAGGAGGATTAGCTTCCCGTATTATGTCTTTGTACACCAGATGCTCCTCAAACTTTACATTCCTACTGATCACACACTTTTCCCCTTCCATTATCCAGACTTTGTATCCTTTGGTGCCTGGAGGATAGCCGATGAAAACTTCTTTCACTGCTCTTGGTTTTAACTTTCCCTGGTCCTGATGCACGTAGACTAGAGAACCAAACTTCCTCATGTGCTTATACCCAGGCTTCTTGCCTAACCAGATCTCTTCCAGAGTCTTAAAACCAATGGTAGAAGACGGGGACCGGTTAATGATATACACAGCTGTTGTGGCTGCTTCTGCCCAGAATCTCTCTTCTAGACCTGATTCACTGAGCAGACACCTGACCTTCTCCATGATCGTTCGATTCATCCGCTCTGCAACACTGTTCTGCTGCGGTGTGTAGGTGCAAGTTCTGTGTCGTGACACTTCGTGCTTCCTGCAAAACTCATCAAACGCATGGTTGCAAAATTCTAGACTGTTGTCGGTCCTAAGGCATTTCAACTTCCTATCTATCTGATTCTCAACAAGGTTTTTTCAATCGCAAAACTTAGCAAAGGTCTCATCTTTTGTCCTAAGCAGACATATCCAAACCTTCCTAGAATGATCATCAATGATAGAGAGAAAATATTGGTTACCAGCAAGGGAAGGCACAACATTCGGCGAGCCCCAAAGATCTGCATGAACATAGTCAAGAACAAAGTTAGTATCATGTTTACCAGTACCAAAACTTACCTTTTTCGATTTGCCCATGACACAGTGTTTGCAGAATGTCTCTTTGCCGACGTCTTTCTTCTTCAGTATTCCCTCTTTAACCAATATCTGCATGTTCTTGTAGCTCATATGCCCCAGTCTGCTGTGCCAAAGCGGGACTTGTGGTCTCGACCCATCAGCTTGACAAACTTCCTCAGTTATAGTCTCTCCATCGAGGATGTACAACCCGTTCTTCAGCACACCCTGAAGCGCAAACTTGTCATTCTTGTGAAACCGAATCCTCCCATCTCCACCTGAATGAGTGAATCCTAACTTGTCGAGGGTCCCTGTAGATATCAAATTCCTCCTGAGTGTTGGAACGTATCTGACATTGTGCATTAGCTTCACTGATCCACCATGAGTGTTGAGACGAATGGTTCATGTCCCAAGCGTCTCCACCGTGTGAAAGTCTCCAAGTAAGATCCTACTCTTGCCTTTCTCCTCGAAATGCACGAACCAATCCCTCCTTGAAGTCAAGTGGTGAGTACAGCCTGAATCAATCACCCAATTGTCTTGAGCATCATCCCCTGAAGCCGCCATTGCCTCCACTGACTCTATAGCTACTGCTGCTTCACCCTCATCGTCGCTCTCCATTCTTCTCTTTCGGGCGTAACAGTCCTTCTTGACGTGATCCTCTTTCTTACAATACCAGCAAGTAACCTTATTTCCCTTTGACTTGCTGCGACTTCTTCCACCCCTGTGTTCGTGAGAATCTTTCTTGGATGATCTCCCTCGCTCACTAGTGTATAGAACCGTTGCAGCCGCCTTGTCTAATCTCGCTGCTTCTCCCAACTCTCGCTGTTTGGACCTTGCAGCTGAGATCATCTCCTCCAAGGTGATCGACTCTTTGCCATACTTAAGAGTATGCTTGAGCTGATCATAACTCGCGGGTAACGAGCTCAAGAAGACGATCGCCTGAATCTCATCTGATACAGTGACGTTGAGACTGCTCATCTCTGCTACGATCTTGAGAAAATTGTCAGCGTTGGCGTCGATCTGCTTTGTCCCATCACACTTAAAAGTGTAGAACTGTGATTGAACAAAGATTCGATTAGGCAAGGACTTGGACATATATAGCCTGTCAAGAAGAGCCCACATTGACGCCGCCGTAGTACAGTGCTTGATCTTCCTCAGCACCTGGTCGCTGATGTTGACGATAATCATGTCAATCGCTCTTTCATCTTTCTCCAGTTTAACTGGATCCAGAATCACCTTCGTTTCAGGTTCGTCATTGCCGGGGATGACGACACCTTCTGCCGTAACAGTCTTGACCTTGCTCTTTGGAATCGTGACAGTAGTCTCGAAGTTGTCGCTCAGAATCACGTCCTTGAGACCTGCGCACCCGAAGTGCACCATCATTCTGATCTTCCACATCGAGAAGTCGCCACTCCCGTCGAAGCAAGATACCTCTTGTCGAGTCACGGTTGTTGTCGCCGTCGATGCCATCGGAATCAGCCACTGAAGCTCTGATACCAATTATTGCGCTAAGATCCAACTCCGATTTGGTAAACCCTCGCACTCTCAGCTCACACTCGAAACAAGAACAATATCGAACACAAGAATGAAACGACACACAGAGATTGTTTACCCAGAGTTCGTGATCGAGATGATACACTACTCTCTGGGGCTAGACTCAGCCAGCAATCCACTATCAAGATGATCGAGCTCTCAGATCAGAGAAACTCGTCGAAGAAGATGATTACAAGAGAAGTGACGAATCAGCTAACCTTAGACCCGAACCTATACCCTTTGATAAACCAAAGATTTACAATAAACCGGGTCTAAGGCAGAGTAACAATTAATCTATCAAACCGAGCTAGAATACGGCACCGGTTTAACATATTAACCCTCTGAATCTAATTCTAACTAAACCTTATACAATGGCTAAGTTTATATCATATCCTAACACTACCAATTATGGAGAAGTTCATGTTCCTAAGTGAAGTCCTCCCTAGCAAAGTCCTTTTAAATATAGATGATTTTGACTTTGAGCAGGAGATGAAGGGAGTTTTAGATCGAATCGAATTATGCTGTAAACAAACATGCGGATTCATTTACGTTACCATCGAATCTCAAGTTCTGACCACAAGGCACAAAGGAACACATTTCCCCATAACATTTGTCGATTTAATTTCGGTACATTGATTTAAAGGGGCCAGTTTTGTTCTTTTTAAAACGTAACTGGATCATTTCTTCGAACAGCTTCTGTAAACCTTTGAGTAAATTATATGATAAATGTAGTATTCTGGCATGAAATATTAGTTAATACATGGCAAGTGTGGATTTGGCCAAACTTTTTAATATGTTCTTATATTTTTATGTCAACATGATCATATTCATATGAGTAATGACATTGGACTGCAAACATAATACCAAAATTTAAAGCTCAACATCATATGCATATGAGTTGAATAATAGAGTATATTTAATGTTTCTATCAAAACCATCAATTTTGTTTTTGTTAAAATCGTTAAATAGTGTTTTCTTGTAAAAATAATATATTCTGTCAAAATAGCAGAATTACGATTTGGCTTAAAATCTAGGAAATATTTTTTTTCAATAAAATTTTAGAATTGTATTCTGGTTTTAAACTGCAAAATCATTTTTTTTTTTTTTTTGGTTTTCATGTTAAAATTTATTACCAAAAACTTAAGAAAAAGAAAGTTTACAACGAGGTAGGAAGAGAAACCTTACCTTTTACCAGACTTACTCTAATGGAACGAAAGCAGCAAAAAGTTATAGATTATAACGGATGAGAGATACAACCAAAGTAACATTCTAGGAGAGAGGGATTCCTATCCGAAGCTGGGAAGGAGATGAGACGATCCCTTGCTGTTCTATCCACGATGGCCTTGAAGCTAGCTAGGAGAGTTGAGTTTGCCGTGAAGATCCTTGTATTCCGCTCCCGCCATAGAGCGTAGATAATAACCTGAAGGAGAAGCTTCATAATAATGGAGAGGTTTCTTGAAGCCGAGAGTGGCGGGGCCGAGAAACTACTCAAGATGTCATCCATGGTAGATGGTACGCTTGTGCGGAAGATCCTCGAAACGAAAGCATGCCAAGCAGCATTAGAGAATCAACAGCGAAGAACAAGTGGCTGTGCGTTTCTTCATCTGTCAGGCAAAGGGGGCATAAATAGGGGATATTCATCCCCCATCTTCTTAGTCGATCCCGAGTTGGTAGTCGCCCCTTTAGGTTGAGCCAAAGGATGAAAGAGGCTCGGGGAATAGCCTCACGGAACCACACTACGCTAGCCCAAGGAACTGTCGGAGACGCCTCCCGGAGCTGCTCCCATGTTGCTCGCGAGGAGAAGTGGGATGCAAAGGTACCTGCAGGAGTTCTCCACATATAAACATCAGGACCCTTAGAGGCCATTGGAGGAGACACATTGGTGAGGAGAATTTGCAGGTTCTGGATTTGGTCGGATCTTGCATTAGGCATATTCCAGTTTCCCATTTGTACTGCGTCTGCGACTTTCGCGTCCAGCCTTAGACGCAACTTTGCTGGTCCAGAATGCCCCACATAGGTGATTAAAGGCCCCAACTCTGTCCAAGAATCCCACCAGAAGGAAGCCGACAGACCATCTCTCACCTCGCACTTTAGAAACGTAGAGACTAGCTCCTTGAGCTGAAGCATGCTTCTAATTGCTTTGGAGTGTCTAGAGGAGTCCTCAGTGGCCCAATAGCTCTTCCTATTGAATACATTCCGCTTTAACGAGGTTATCCATAAGGAGCTCGAGTTGGCGAAGCAAAATCATATCTTGTTTGTCTAAATTACAAAATTGTGAGTTTTTGTCAAATTTATAAAATAATATTTTTTCATCAAAACCATAAAATCAAAGTTGTATTTTATCAACATCAAAAACAAGCAGAACCATATTTTGACGCCAAAGTAACTTTTAAGCACGAAGGGGATTTGTATTTTGGTAACGTCAAAATGTGATTATACAATTTTGGCCAGAAAACATTATTCGATTACTTTGCATGAAACTTAATTTCATGATTTTTGCAGGAATTGTTGTTACACGATTCCCCGATTTGTAACTTTTGTTCTAAACTTCGAGTTCGCAATTGCACACGCAAACTGAAGGACTGCGGATTTTTAATTTTCTTATTCAATTAACAATGGACTTTACTCTGGCCCATTGGCCCAATAATTATTTAATAGGCCCAACGTCTTTATTTGTATTATCGGGCACCGAGTCTCCGACGAGTTAACCTTACGACTATCACCGTCTTCGTGAATCGTTACATTTCTGTTTGTTCGTGTGAGAGGGACGAGAACGATCAATCATGAAGCTCTCTTTCTCTCTCCCTTCCAAGCCGAAGCCCAAAGTCACAGCGACCGTCGACGGGAACAACGCCGTTGATGACGGCAATAGTAAGGAGTTCGTCACCGAATTCGACCCTTCGAAAACCCTAGCTGACTCCGTTCCCAAATACGTTATCCCTCCGATAGAGAACACATGGAGGCCTCACAAGAAGATGAAGAATCTCGATCTCCCGCTTCAATCCGGTAAGACCGGGTCAGGTCTCGAATTCGAGCCCGAGGTTCCTTCAGGCGATTCCAAGGCATCCGATAACAACATCACCTATGGTTTGAATCTGCGTCAGAAAGCGAAGGACGACGCCGCGAGTGACGCGGTTGAAGATGGGAGATTAGCTCCGGTGGAGCAGCTTATGCTGCAAAGTCTGAGGAAAGATCTGGAGTCGCTCGCAGATGACCCGACGTTGGAGGATTTCGAGAGCGTTCCTGTGGAAGGTTTTGGAGCTGCGTTGATGGCTGGATATGGATGGAAACCTGGGAAAGGAATAGGTAAGAATGCTAAAGATGATGTTGAGATTAAGGAATTCAAAAAGTGGACTTTTACGGAAGGATTAGGTTTCGATCGGGATAGATCTAAGGTTGTGGATACGAAGGCTAAAGTGAAAGAAAGTGGGAAACTTGATAGTAAGCCAAGAGATATTAATGGCGGAGATGTGTTTTTTGTTGGCAAAGAAGTGAGAATTGTTGCAGGAAGAGATATAGGATTAAAGGGTAAGATTGTAGAGAAACTGGGTGGAGATTTGTTTGTTTTGAAGCTCTCTGGAAGCAAAGATGAAGTGAAAGTTGGTGTGAATGATGTAGCAGATTTGGGTTCTAAGGAAGAAGAAAAGTGTTTAAAGAAGCTGAAAGATTTACAATTAAACGATAAGAAAGCGAGTAAGCGAAGTAGAGGAACAGAGAGAGAGAGTCGAACTGAAGTTAGAGTCAGTGAGAAGCATGATAGAGGTCAAACGAGAGAGAGAAGAGTGAAGCCCTCATGGCTAAGGAGTCATATAAAGGTGAGGATAGTAAGCAAGGACTTGAAAGGTGGGAGATTGTATCTTAAGAAAGGAGTAGTTGTTGATGTTGTTGGACCAACCACTTGTGATATAACGATGGATGAGACGCAAGAGCTGGTTCAAGGGGTTGATCAGGAGCTGCTCGAGACGGCATTGCCTAGGCGAGGAGGTCCGGTTTTGGTCCTGTCGGGGAAACATAAGGGCGTCTATGGAAATCTCGTTGAGAAAGATTTGGATAAAGAAACTGGTGTGGTTCGTGATTTAGATAACCACAAGATGCTTGATGTTAGGCTTGAACAAGTTGCTGAGTACATGGGTGATATGGATGATCTTGAATACTGAAACTCTCTGTTGAACTGAAGCTGTTAACTTTCAGGTATTGCTACTATCTCATTTCCTGTTTTAATTCCCTTGCAAGGTGCTGTTGAGCTGACTTTTAGGTAGACCAATAGTTACACATTTGTAATTTGCAAGCTTTTAAACCGAGCAAGTTCATAAAGTTTCTTAAAAATTCAAATTTGGGAGAGTTTTTGAATAAGTTGGTTATTTCCCCTTTGTGATTTGCAAAACTCGCATTCCTGTGTAATTGATATACCAATGTATGTGAACTTGTATGCGTAATGGTTATAGTTCTGGATCAAATGTGTGAACTTGTATGCGTAATGGTTATAGTTCTGGATCAACTGCCAATAAGTCAATAAATCTACCTATAGGAAACAGAACTTCATCTAAACAGTTTGTTGATCTTAAGGTTCTGTTCTTGATGTAATGACAGATTCAGGTGCAGCTTGCGGATTTACGAGGAATTGGTGAATGTGTCCGTTTGTTGAATTTACAGACAGTAGACAGTGGATGGTTGGTGTTAGTGTCTGTCTTCCAGTAATTGCTGATTCTATATTTCACTCACTGTACCATTTGTAAGGGCGCATACATGGTCATGCACTATTTCATGTGTTTCATCTGTATAACCTTTGTGATCTGAATTAAAAAGAATAGATGGTTATTCACAAGATGATAATTCACAAGATAAACAAACATGGTGGTGCATTTACATTAGAAATTGCTAGCTGAAGAATAAAAATTACAAATGATTTGGATCATAATTCTCTCTCGACTTACTATCTACGTTTCTCACTGTTACGATTTATCAGAGTGGTCATTGTAATGACAATGGCCTAGACCTTTATACTGTCGACTTAGGAAACTAAAGAAATATACTCTATTAGTTTAGATTATCAAGAATGTCATGATAATACTAAGAAGATGACTCTAGTGCTTCTTATCCGACTCCATATATTTAAAGGGGATGAAACAGAAAGTTTGATGTTCTCAAGCGTATAGTGAGACTTCTGTAAACTTCAAGAGATTTAAAAATGTTATGAAACTACTTGTTTAATATGGTGAAATACATATATATATATATATATATATATATATTGTTATGACTACAATTGTTAATTTATAAAGATATTAATTTGTAGATATATTATTTGGTTAATAAACTAATTTTAGAACTAAAAAAATTATTAATTTATTGAATATTGATTTATAGAAGTTAAATTATATATATATATATATATATATATGTTATAGAGGTTAAACTATATATATCATATTATTAATTGACAAGCAAATGGGTTATGGTTAAAAATTATTGTGGTCGATTACCTTTTAATTTTCATATGAATTTACTATAATTATCTTTAATAAAATTATTAATTAAATTAAACCATGCTATTGGTTTTGTTTTTGAAGCGGTTTTGTGTTACTTATTCTCACCATGTTATCATCTTCGCCTGAATTTTTTTTTTTTAAAAATAAAACTATGGTTGACATATTAGAAGAACGAAATTGAGTTGAACTGTCTATTTATTTGCATATTTCTAAAAGTTTATCATTTAAGTTAAATTAAATTAGTATATTTCTCTATTATATTAGATCTCACTAAAATTTAACAGAATACAAAAACATTTTCAAAATTTTAAACTATATACAAATAAAATACAGATAATTTTTTTGAATTTAGGTAAGTCACCTTGAATCATTTCTATTCATTTCTTCGCATTTCAGATCCAGATAAATGTGTAATTTGAAAGCTGTTTGAAGATGTCAGTATTTAACTGTTTGATAACATCTAATTGTCGCTTAGCCAACAAGACTATGAATCCTCTTAGAGTCAAAAAGTCCATGGATGAGTTGAAATCGAAGTCGCCAGTATTGAGAAGCACAATACCTAAGCTATCAAAGTCGTTTCATTTATTTTGCTTTTCGTTTCATTCATCATTTTGCTTTTTTGGTGAAAATTAGGAACAAATTCAAATCCAACCCATAACCACTGCAAGTAAGGTTCTATGTTTCTTAATTGATTTGCGTTGTATAGATAGTAAGTTTATAGTTTTGCTTGATTTGCCACCACTTGCATGAAGTTATTTGAATTTTTCTCTTACAATTCTATATTGTCAATCTACTCCTTAGACAGTTAATTCCTTAGTCTAAGATAAGCAAATTCCTTACTTCACTCATTCATGCAATTCATCAAACAGTTATCACATAAAAGAACCCTAGGATCTATATCAACTTAGCAAGGGATAATCTAGCATTAAACACAATCAATAAGAAGGAACAATAAAATTAAGAACTAAGCAATCACTAATCTTACCTCAAATCTCCCTATCTCTACTCCATCTCAAACCCTAAGCACACTACTCACTAATCATGGTTTTAGCCATAACCCAAAGCAAAGAAGAATGACTAATCATAATCAGGAAGAAGATAAACACCAACTTTGATTAAAAGAACAAAATTCAAAACATAATTACAAGAGTGCAAGGAGATACAAAGGACAAAGCTAATATCTAAAGGATAAAGATGAAAAGAAGATCCGCCCTAATGTTTTTGGATCTAAACATATATATAGTTTTCAGGAAAAACCCTTAGTAAACCGATAATAAACTGGAAAATAGCTGGCTCGAAGGCTTTGTATCGGCTTGTCTGGTCGATAGCTAGCTCGATATTGGTTGGTTGAAGGCTGTATCGATCAGTCGGACCGATACACTGATCGGTACAGGCACCTCTAGCTAAGGCTTATCGTCATGTCTCCCCAGTACATTGGTCGATACAATCGTCTTTTTTCTAAGGCATATGGAGCAAAACCAAGTCGATACTCTGCTCAATACATGTCCTGGCTTGTGTATCGGCTTGTCTTCCCTTGATATGTAGACCGGTACAGATGTCCTGAAGATGATGTATCGATTAGAGCAGCTCGATACCTTTTGACTTGTTCTGTCTTACCGTATCGACTTGGGACCTCAGTATGACTCCTTGGCTTGTATCGGCATATGTATGTCAATATATTGCTCTGTATGCTCCGTATCGGCTTAGTAGACATACACTGCTCGATATGAGGCCTTCTCGCCCTTGTCCTTTTGCTATATCACTCCCAAAACTCATCTCAATCTTTAAACTCCTTCATTGCACCTGTCAAGTGCTCAAAATGCTCTAAATATGCAACGCAACTTCTAACTACACTTTAGGTACTAAATTGATGCAATTAAAATATGAACATGCAAGAAAGGATGTTTAAATGCTGAAACTAACACTAAATGTATATAAATAATGGAGTAATTATAGTGTATATCACTTAGACATAAAGAAATTAACATTTTATATTTTTTAAATGCATTAATGATATTTAGAATATGTATAACTAAAATGGATCTAATAATTCAGTAATACCATCTTATTTAATGATATTTATTTTTTTGGATGATTTTAATTTTTGTTAAACACTTGTCATTTTCAAATTTATTTAAAATACTGATGTGTCAAGTTGTGGGAGAGAGTTCTCCCTTATTCATATATATATATGATTTTTTTTTTTCTTTATTCATAAGATATCTATGTGAGAACTCCTTCATAGAAATGTTTTTAGAAGCTAAAGCAAAAGCAAAATCAATCCTTTATTAAGTGCTTGGATAGCATACGTACCATTAGGTAATATAACATGTTTTACTATCAAAAATACATCACCAGAACAGCTGATAATTGACGTCCTCACACGTTCCAGCATGTTCGTTAAGCCGTCTGAATCCTCAGGCATGTGCAATGAAGCAAAGTAAGTTTATTACATAAACCAAAGTTTCCGCAAACAAGAAATATTTCAGATTCGCTATATCTTACCAAATTTTCCTCTTCTTTGCTTTCTTATTTCCCACTGTGTTTCTCTTTGAAACACATTGTGCAGAACCCAATCACTCACTATTGTAACAAAAAACACAATTTTTTCTACAGAATTTGAATTAGGGTTCTTCACATTTGTCAACAGATCGTATCTACAAAATTCTGGCATATTCCTACAATATGTTTACAAATGTGAAGAATCCTAATTCAAATTCTGTAAAAAAAAATTGTGTAGATATCTTTACTGTTAATAGATTTGGTATTTTTTATTATTTATAAGATATCTTTTTTTTATAGTCACTCATTTTATGAAAATTTAATTTTTTAATAGTTATTTGTATTTTTAATTTTTTTTTAAAAAAATTAGATGGATGTTTAGCAAAAATATTTATTCAATTAATGTATTTTTTTGCTTATTTGCTACTTATTTTTTGTTTTTTTTGCTTACTTTCTACTATTTTTTGCTTATTTTATGAAGATGAGAATGGATAAATGTTAATAACAATAAGAGTCGATATATATATATGTTAATAGTTGTGTTGTTGTTATTAGAATTGAAAGATATGTATAAATTACAAATAAATTTTAGAAATAAAATATTTTATTAAAAATAAGTTTTTTCATGAACGCAAAAGTTAAATACTTAATAATAATTTTGATGTATCCAACTTTATATAATAAGATAATATATATTATTATTTAAATTAATTGAATTTTTTAGTTTTATCGGTTTTGAAATTATTACATCTATATAGTTAATATGGTATATTCAAAATTGAATCATATTTTCTATTTAAGTTAAATTTAATTTGCTTTGGTTTCTTTTACCGAATTGAACGGCCCTCAGAAATTACCGACACATGTTTGAGATCCTCCTTCTCTCGTGATTGTGAATCTTTCTTCAGAACAAGATAGAAAAATTTCAAATTCATGAAAAATATTGAAAAATGAGAAGAAGTGAATATCATATTCTTAATTGAAAAATAAACTGGGCCGTGGATGAGAGTTATAATGGTTGATTATTATTTGTCTCTTATATGAAAAGACTTTATTTATCCTTAATAAAATTAACAAATTAATACTATAATCTAATTTTTAATTGATTTTTGTTTTTTTTAAATATAGATTTCTAAATTTGAGTTTATATCATAAAAATATTTAGTTTACTAAAAAAGTAACTAGCATAAATCACAAAAAATTGGTCCTAATTATTTTCTTAAACTAATTTTAATTGGATTGTTTAATCTACTAATATTTTTGACTATCCTAATTGATTTATGCGGTCAAAAGTAAAACTTTAAATCATTTAAATCTTTTTAAAAATATATATATATATATATTAATTAATGTTAAGTTGATATGAACAATAATCATTTGGTTTTGGTTATTTTGGATTGCTATGTATTTTTTTTAATGTAAATTTTGAATTTCATTAATCTTAATCTACCAATTTACATCAAAAGAAGAGAATTATTTATCATGTTTGATAAATACAACAAAACAACAAAGCATAGATATAACTTTTTTATCGGATAATATAAAAGATATTAAAAAATAAGACATAAATAATATATTTTATTTTGTCACAATACTCGTAAAAATTGTATTTTTTTAAATATATTAAGTTTGGTTTCTAATCATTATAAAATTTGATTTTTTAATCTATAAATAAATTAATATTATAGCTTTTAAAAAATTTAATCGAACTCCCCTTAAGATGCAGAAAAACACTTAGTACGATTAAAAGATATAACAAATATTTTCCTTTTCCAATAAGTTTTTTCGATAGTGACCAAAGCTTCTATCAGTTTCCGTTAAGCTGGTGAAAATTGTAAAACTATCTTTTCTTATACTTTCTCGCAGAATAAGAAAGAATAAACCGCCAGAACTGGTTTGTTCTGATACATTTGTTTTTGATACTTTACACAGTACAAAGAACGCTCTTCTCATGCTTATAGTGAGACTTACATAACATAATCTGTAAACTGTAAAAGATTAGAAAAAAACTGCAGCCTGCTAAAGAAGTAGCACATAAAGCTACTTTTTGGTTCAGAGACCAACACTGTATTCCTCTCCACAACCACATTTAGTAATGAAAGAAATTCCCTGCAGCAAGGTCATCGTAAGCACATAGATATGTCACAATCAAGTTAAGCCTATGAATAAACCAAATGTTACCTTCAGCTTCTCAGCCTGACTCTGCAGCGAATGTAAATACTCTGCCTCTCCTGATTCATCTGACAAGAGTGCTGTGTATTCCTCTTCTAGAATCTTTATATCCACTGACATTAACTCTGGCTGCATTGTTCACGGTTTTAGAAGATGATACATGATTGAAAAATCATTCAAGATTAAAAAAATTAGACATAGACAGAGTGGATTTATCTTGATTCAACTGTTGAACTCATGCAAGATCACAATGCTAGCAGAGTTTCCGGAGCGAAATTTACCTTAAACTCATTAATCTTGTGCTTCACATGCTCAATTGATAGCTTGATCTGAAATGAAGCTTTAAAGTTCAGAAATGTGCTCAAAGAGATAAATCGTGTACTCAGAATTTCCGGAAGAGGAAAAGTAACTAATTTTTTTATCTCAAAAACATAAATCACAGACACAGACACAAAAGTTTATCTGAAGTAAATAACCTTCGAGTTTTCCTCTATAAGGTTGATTCTCATCTGTTTTGCTTGATCAAGCTTTGCTCTAACAGAATCGGATAGTTCCATTAGTTGTTTCCTTGTTTCTTCTTTCTAAGATATCAACGACCAGACAAGAATGTGATAAGAAATCCTATCATCAGTTACTATGCAAATATTGGAAGTCTCTTGTTACGAAATAAGCATATAAGGATTCATTGGAGAGAGAAGGAACCTGTCCTTGTTGACCAGTTTCATTGCTCATATGGGAAACAAACCAGCCCTGGCCATAATAGGACAGCAGAAAGATAGATCTATTGGTAAACAGCGAATGAGAACACATGAAGATAATGCAAATAGCAAACCTTTTGCTCCTCTAGTTTGGTTCTAGCTTCTTCTGCCGTCTTTACATAGTTAGAACTGCCATTGCAAGCAATGAAATGCACAGTCTTCAGGTGATTCCAGAACTACAATCCAGTTCTAGCGAGATGTTTCTTTTCGGGATTACCTTTTCGATACAAGTTTGGCTGACAAACTGTCTCGTTCTTGTAGAATAAGCTTCAGGCTCTACAAGACAGGATAATATTTCACTCAGTGTAAGCAGTACACGATATGAACAAACCGTGTGACAAATTACAGTGGCGTTCTCAAGCATATATTACTTCTTCTTTATGCTTCTACGAGGCATTCTATTCATGGCTTACAAAAGATTCTAAGTACCTGTGCAAGATTTGCTGAATCAGATTCCAATGACGAAATTTTTCTCTGCTTTTGAAGTATATGTGAGCATATTTCGCCTTTCGTCCTCGTTTTCTGATCAGTCTCTTCTTTTAGCCTCTTCGTCTCAGACAATGCTTCAAACAGTGATACAAAAATCATGCAAGATCTCATCAAAAAGAGTATGTATGAAGCTGAGTGCGAAATCCAGATCCAGAGACAAACTATTTTAAACATGAACAAAGGACCACTACTCTGATACCCAATAGTTCAAACAGTGATACAAGAAAATGAAAAATCATGTAAGTTCTCATAAACAAAGATTGTGTATGAAGCTGAGTACAAAATGCAAATCCAGAAACAAACTATCTTGAACATGAACAAAAGGACTGCTACTCTTATACTCAATAGTTTATCACAAATCAGCCAAACCATCATTTAAGAAAGGAATTACAGCAAATTTTTGCATCGTCACAAAACAAAAATTCTAATCTAAGCGCAAAGACATCAACGATAAGCTACACAGGAAACAAAATTGGAAATGTCAAACACAAGAAGTTTAATCAACATTAGTTTCAATCAGCCTTAAATTTCCAACGAAGATCAACGGATTTTCCCTTAAAACCAAGAGCATACACCTAAAAACTGCTGCGCAATCATCGTTCGTCCGTACATGTCAATGGAAATTTCAGAATCCGAAAACGTTGAGAGAGAGAGAGAACTAACCATGATCGAGATCTTTCTCCAAGGTATTGATTGTGGTAATTTGCATCTGTTCCTCGACGGAGACCTTCGCCGCGTGATCCTCCACATCTAATCCCAATCGAATCCATGAGAAAAAAAACAACAACAGATAAAGGCAAATCCACGATCTCCAAATAGTATTTCAGCTAGAAACGGGAAAATCATGAGCGAAGAAGAAGATAAACCAGTCATTTGAGACCGGAGAGTCTTCATGTACTGCAGGTACTCCTCCATCTCTTCGTTCGCTCTCCGATTTCAATTCAAACCTAAAATCGAATTCGATTCAAAGCAGATGAACACATTAACTTTTTTCAGAAGATTTTGAATCAGATCTTCGTACGAATCCGAAGAGCCAAAATAAAAACCTTTACGCGAGCGCTCACTTTCGGGAAAATTTGAAAATGGGGAGAGAATTTTGGAAACCAGCGAGGTAAAAACGTTTAACAAAACGAAAGTACATTAGCAACTCTATAAATTAATAATACTAGGTATTTACACGCTGGGCTGCAAAATATTTTTCTAAATTTTGTATATATTTTTAATATAATAAAATTATTTTATAATATAATATATTTATTTATTCTATTACTTTAAGTAATGTATTTATGTGTTTTAAATCTGAATTAACATTGTATATCCTTATCTAATTTTTTGAAATTGTAGTTTACTATAAAATTAGTTTAACTAACTATAAATATATATGTAAAAATAAAATAATATACTTTTAATTACCTTCATACTACTGGCATATATAATTTTTTTTTATACTAAATTGCTACTTGATCCTCTCTTATAATTATATAAAGCAAAATATCATTTTGAAAAAAGATTTATTAATTAATATGTTTATTTTGAATTAAAATATTTATTAATATATCAAATATTTATTATAAATATATGTTTAAAACCACCAAACTATAATCAATAACATTAATATCAAAAATATTATTATTACTTTAGAACTAAATAGAAAATTCTATTTGACTTGTTGAAATATCAATTTTGCATAAGTTAAATAATTAAATTTTGGTTACTGTAAAAATATGGTAACTTGGAATTTTACCACCAAAAAAATTCTACTTCTTACAAAAACTGAAAAAATCATTTTTCCACGAAAACTAAGGAATTGCCAAAACCAAGAAATTTTATTTTCTCATCAAACCAAAAATTCATTTTCCCACCAAAACCAAAAAATTGTATTTTTCCTCAAAAACCAAGAAATCATATTTTCCCACGAGAACCAGTGTTTTTCGCCGAAACCGAGAAATCACGTTCTCTCACTAAAACCAAAAAAAAAATCATCTTCATATAAAAACCAAAAACTGTTTTCCCATCAAAACTAAAACATTTATTTTCCCTCGAAAACCGAGAAACGCCTATTCCCGCCAAAACTAAAAAATTCCATTTTCTCGTCAAACCAAAATTCACGTTTTTCTACAAAAACCAAGAAATTACATTTTTCGGGAAAACAAAAAATTGCATTATCTCGCGAGAAATTACGTTTTCCCGCGAAAACTAAGAAATCATATTTTCTCACGAAAAATAAAAATCGCATTATCCGTCAAAAACGAAAATTTGCATTTTCCATCAAAACCGAGGAAATGCTTATTCCCACCAAAACCGAGAAATTCCTTTTTCCCATCAAACCGAGGAATTGCATTTTCTGCCAAAATCGTCAAAATGTATTTTCTCGAAAAAACCAAGTAATTGCATTTTTCCACGAAAACCAAGAAATCACATTATCCGTCAACTCAAAATTTTCATTTCCCATCAAAACCGAGAAATTGTATTATTCCGTCAAAATCAAAAAGTTGCGTCTGCCATCAAGACCGAGAAATCATATTTTTCCCTCAAAACCAAGATATTTTGTTTTCTAGTCAAAATTGATTTTTTTTACCCTCCAAAACCGAAAAACACATTTTTCCGCCAAATCCGAGAAATCGCATTTTTCCATCATAACTGAAAAATTATGTTTTTTTACCAAAACTAAAAATTACATTTTCTCGCCAAAACCAAAAAATCTCACATTCCCGCAAAAGCTGAGAAATCCCGTATTCCCGTCAAAATCGAGAAAAACTGTTCGTGTTTTTTAACAAAACTGAAAATTTGTATTTTTTTTCAAAATCGTCAAATTGCATTTTCTGCAAAACCCGTGGAATTGTATTTTCCAACGATTACCAAGAAATCGCATTATTTATCAAAACATAAAAATTGCATTGGCCACCAAAAGCAAAAATTCGTATTTCCTATCAAAATCGAGATATAATGTTTTCCCATCAGTACTGGAAAATTTTATTTTCCGTCAAAACCGAGAAATTTTCTTTTTGCGCCAAAATTGGGGAATCTCATTTTCCCGTCAAAACCGAGAATTTTCATTTTCGAAGAATTTTTGTTTTCTTGTTCAAACCATGAAGTTTTGCTTTCACGTCAAAAACCCAAGAAACTTAGCGAAGACTGAGCCGGAAACAGAGGTGATTCCGACATTTCCAATGTCAATGGTGCTGAGATTGGGGTTTTCACGAATGACTGAGAGGAAGCCCGAGCTGCGAAGCTGCAAAAGTGGAGACAAAGCAGCAGAATAATTGAAACCATGAGAGATGGAAAGTTCTCATGTGAGGCTTAGCGACAGAGAATAATCAAAAAATTATCGAGTTCTCGGTAACCACCGGAAGTGCGAATCTCCTAGCTGTCGTGGTATGAGCTTCTCTTCCTTTGTTGTCGACCTTCATTTTTGAATGGGTTTGGGCTTTTTAATGGGTAAGCAAAATAGTAAACTGATTTTATTATTGTGTTGATGATATGTACCATTGTTATATTTTTATTATTTTAAACTTTTTGTTGATGTGTGAGTTTCTTATAACATAAGGTTTTTTATTTTGTTGTCATGGAATTTTAATTGATGCTGGGCCTACATTTTCTTCAATCATACACGTATGTGTCAAACAAACATATAGCTAAAATTTAATTTTTATTTGTTATTATTTATTGTTTGAGTTTGGCAAAAAAAAAAAAATAATTTTATTTTTGCTATTATTTGTTATTTGGATTTGGGTTTGGAAAAAAACTAGAGAAATTAGGTCGTATGACCATATAAACAACCTAAATTCATCAAATAACCATAATATACAGATGCTATGATATTTTCTATATATTTTACAATATATACAAAAATACCCTTTCTCTTTTATCCTCCTCTCCTCCCTTCTTTTCATCGCTTCATTCCTTTCACTGTCTTCCTTTCCACTTCTCTTTCTCTTTCTCTTCCTTTTCCCCTCTCTTCCCTTCCCCTCATCTCCTTTTCTCTTCCGTCTTCTTCTTTCTCTTTTTCTCTTTACAACCAACTTTTTCTATTAATACTATATCAAACGACTACTATTCTATAAGATTAATATGTAGTATAGTACAAAATATAATATAGTATAAGGTTATATTCGACAATTGATTGTGGGATATAGTTAGTTTACAAATTATTCAAATAGTATAGCTATATTCTTGTATTTTTTTGTTATTATGGTTATACAGCAAATTAACCCAAAAAACTAAATTATTTTTATTTATTATTTGGACTTGGGTTTGACCAACAAATAAAATTAAAATTAACAATAAAAAGTATTTGGGTTTTTAATGGGTTTAAATTTTGAAGTTAAAATAAATAGATGACTTGTATTAATAAAATGTTTTGATTGGTTGTTGATTTTGCTGATGTGTCAGTTTTTGGTGACTTGAAAAAACTGAGTTGTCAAGCCATGGAGAGACTTTAGTGTTATTGTTGTGTTGATTGAAACTTTGATACTTAATTAATTTATAAAATTATTAATTTATTAAATGTGGATAAAATAATTTTTAATTAAAAATAATATTTTTCTTAAAATTTATAATAATTTACAAAAATTTCATTTTAAAATTAGAAATAAATGATAAAAATGTTTCAATTTTAATATAGAAAACAACAACATATTTATATTTTAATAGATTTTCATAAATATATATATTTATATTTATTAATTTATGATTCTAATAGAATTATATTTTATATAGGTTTTTAAAAAAATTTATTATCTTATTAATTTATCAATTTATATTAAATTTTGAACTGGTTTAATTTGGAACCCACATAAAATTATTAATTTATCGAGTTTATTAAATTATTAAATATTAAAAAATATTAAATAAAAGAAAGGGAAATGACAATTAAGTCAACCTGATTGTGTGATTTAGACTGAAAGTAGCCCAATATTAAACACTAAAAATGCCCATTAAAACAAGACACCAACACCAATACCATTAGAATTTCTGTAAATGTAAATGAGATTCGTTGTTGGTAATGTAAATGAATCTGCATATTCGCTTATAGCATACATCGATTCAATTTAAAAACTCCCTTCATCTCCTGCTCAAATCATATCCATACTATTATTTGAGGATTGTTTAAACACATTCATGTGTTATATTACAATATGTATCATTGGTTTTTACCCTTTTCCTTAAAATTTTATTAAGGGTATTTTAGAGATAGTTTTTCGGTCCTTAATTCGAATTATATACATCTATATACTATTCAACTCATACTCTAATAATTCATATCTACTCACTTACAGAATGATATTAGTCCATATAAATTCATCCTATCATTAAACTATCATAAGATATAACAGAGGGGCATCCTATTATCATTCGACGAGAGACACTAATGTTTACTTTCTTATGTTCTTCCCTCTCAGTTAAGGTCTTCATGTCTTATCGATGGAGATGTTATATCGAAATCCTGTAAAATAAATGATGCAATTGAAATTTAAGACCTCGACCAAGTTTGAAGATCTAATAACAACACCATTTCAATCAAGTTCTTCCCTCTCGATTAAGGTCTTCATGTCTTCATGAATGGAGATGTTATATCGAAATCCTGTAAAATAAATGATGCAATGGAAATTTAAGACCTCGACCAAGTTTGAAGATCTAATAACAACAACATTTCAATCAAGTTTTTGCAATCTAAAGAGGAAATTAAACAAACATGCAACACCCTTTCACCATTCTATATCGATCTGTCGGCATCTCAATCAAAATCGATCAATCTGGGTATATAAGTTCCAACACGCTTTCAATCAAGCATAGGCTTCAAAGGAACAAAATCGATCAATGTGGGTATAAGTTCTAACACGATTTCAATCAAGGATATGTTTCAAAGGAAGAAACCAAATCTGATATTTTTGCATCTCATCAACAAAGATTTATAGTGTTCATAAATCTTATAAAATTATATGCAGAGATTTTAACTGATAAGAATCCGTGTTTAGGCAAAGATGATGGGACATGACTTAGTTTTAAACTCATTTCATCACCAAAATATGAATTCTGTTTATTTTTCCGAGAGGGTGTGTGGTTTCTGCATTGATGGGAAATCTCATAACCTGACAAAAGTTAAAGTTGCATTGTTTC